TACCATGGTACTTCCCACCAGTGCCACCATTACCATGGTACTTCCCACCAGTGCCACCATTACCATGGTACTTCCCACCAGTGCCACCATTACCATGGTACTTCCCACCAGTGCCACCATTACCAAGGTACTTCCCACCAGTGCCACCATTACCATGGTACTTCCCACCAGTGCCACCATTACCATGGTACTTCCCACCAGTGCCACCATTACCATGGTACTTCCCACCAGTGCCACCATTACCATGGTGCTTCCCACCAGTGTCACCATTACCATGGTGCCCCCCACCAGTGCTACCATTACCATGGTACTTCCCACCAGTGCCACCATTACCATGGTGCCCCCCACCAGTGCCACCATTACCAAGGTACTTCCCACCAGTGCCACCATTACCATGGTACTTCCCACCAGTGCCACCATTACCATGGTGCCCCCCACCAGTGTCACCATTACCATGGTACTTCCCACCAATGTCACCATTACCATGGTACTTCCCACCAGTGCCACCATTACCATGGTACTTCCCACCAGTGCCACCATTACCATGGTACTTCCCACCAGTGCCACCATTACCATGGTACTTCCCACCAGTGCCACCATTACCATGGTACTTCCCACCAGTGCCACCATAACCTCATGACTCACCAGTTACGTGACTAATGAGTAATTAAGATAACGTCCATGAACCAGGCAGGTAGACTAGGGATAACACGATATGCACGACCTTGACTGCGATAACGGATATATCAGAGATAACATCATGATACCATCCGGAGTCCATTATATTTGCTGCCATAATAAACGAACTAAACCCATTGTTGAACAATAAAGGGCGTGATTTACACTCAACATTGTGCAAGATTGACCATTCTGTTGCATCGTCCCCACTGCCTCCTGTAACGGCATGGAAACTATCAGGGGAAAGCGCCAAGCCCTCACGACTATGTAGCACTGGGAAGGTGTCAGGATAAGGATTTGGGATGGGGCTGGGGGAAGGAATGGTGCCCAACCACTTGTGGACGGTCGGGGATTGAACGCCGACCTGCAGGAAGCGAGACCGTCGCTCTACCGTCCAGCTCAAGCGGTTGGGCAGATCCTCTCCCAAGTGTAACAGAAATTGTGTTGCATCAGTGTTCGTTCACATGTATGTCTTCCTGCAACACTTGCCTAGTATGTGTTGCACGATTATGTGAGTACACACACACACACACACACACACACACACACACACACACACACACACACACACACACACACACACACACAGCTATCAAGCTGGGGCCTGATAGCTGAGTGGACAGCGCTCTGGACTCGTAATCCTAGGGTCTGGGTTCGACCCACATTGATGGCACAAGCAAAAGTGGGGAAAATTTCTTTCACCCTGATGGCCCTGTTACCTAGCAGTAAATAGGTACCTGGGAGTTAAACAGCTGTTTAGGGCTGCTTCCTGGGCGTGTGGGGAAAACAAGTTAGTTAGTAGTTAGTAACAGTTCGTTGATAGACAGTTGAGAGGCGGGCCGTAGGAGCCAGAGCTCATCCCCTGCAAGCACAACTAGGTGAATACAACTGGGTGAACACAACTAGGTGAATACATCTACGTGAATACAACTGGGTGAATACAACTGGGTGAATACAACTAGGTGAATACAACTACGTGAATACAACTGGGTGAATACAACTGGGTGAATACATCTACGTGAATACAACTGGGTGAATACAACTGGGTGAATACAACTGGGTGAATACAACTACGTGAATACAACTAGGTGAATACAAATGGGTGAATACATCTGGGTGAATACAACTAGGTGAATACAACTACGAGAATACAACTGGGTGAACACAACTAGGTAAATACAACTACGTGAATACAACTAGGTGAATACAACTGGGTAAATACAACTGGGTGAATACAACTAGGTGAATACAACTGGGTGAATACAACTAGGTGAATACAACTACGTGAATGCAACTAGGTGAATACACTCACACACACACAACATACCCCAGGATACACACTAAGGCTCACTACATACCCCAGGATACACACTAAGGCTCCCTACATACCCCAGGATACACACTAAGGCTCACTACATACCCCAGGATACACACTAAGGCTCACTACATACCCCAGGATACACACTAAGGCTCACTACATACCCCAGGATACACACTAAGGCTCACTACATACCCCAGGATACACACTAAGGCTCACTACATACCCCAGGATACACACTAAGGCTCACAACATACACCAGGATACACACTAAGGCTCCCTACATACCCCAGGATACACACTAAGGCTCCCTACATACCCCAGGATACACACTAAGGCTCACAACATACCCCAGGATACACACTAAGGCTCCCTACATACCCCAGGATACACACTAAGGCTCACAACATACCCCAGGATACACACTAAGGCTCCCTACATACCCCAGGATACACACTAAGGCCCCCTACATACCCCAGGATACACACTAAGGCTCCCTACATACCCTAGGATACACACACAAATAGGTGAGTACAAATAGGTGAGTACACTAAGGCTCACTACATACCCCAGGATACACACTAAGGCCCCCTACATACCCCAGGATACACACTAAGGCTCCCTACATACCCCAGGATATACACTAGGGCTCACTACATACCCCAGGATACACACTTAGGTTCACAACATACCCCAGGATATACACTAAGGCTCCCTACATACCCCAGGATATACACTAAGGCTCCCTACATACCCCAGGATATACACTAAGGCTCACTACATACCCCAGGATACACACTTAGGTTCACAACATACCCCAGGATATACACTAAGGCTCACTACATACCCCAGGATACACACTAAGGCCCCTACATACATCAGGATACACACTAAGGCTCACAACATACCCCAGGATACACACTAAGGCCCCCTACATACCCCAGGATACACACTAAGGCCCCTACATACATCAGGATACACACTAAGGCTCCCTACATACCCCAGGATACACACTAAGGCTCACTACATACCCCAGGATACACACTAAGGCTCACAACATACCCCAGGATACACACTAAGGCTCACAACATACCCCAGGATACACACTAAGGCTCACAACATACCCCAGGATACACACTAAGGCTCACAACATACCCCAGGATACACACTAAGGCTCACTACATACCCCAGGATACACACTAAGGTTCACAACATACCCCAGGATACACACTAAGGTTCACAACATACCCCAGGATACACACTAAGGCTCACAACATACCCCAGGATATACACTAAGGCTCACTACATACCCCAGGATACACACTAAGGCTCACAACATACCCCAGGATACACACTAAGGCTCACAACATACCCCAGGATACACACTAAGGCTCACAACATACCCCAGGATACACACTAAGGCTCACAACATACCCCAGGATACACACTAAGGCTCCCTACATACCCCAGGATACACACTAAGGCCCCCTACATACCCCAGGATACACACTAAGGCTCCCTACATACCCTAGGATACACACACAAATAGGTGAGTACAAATAGGTGAGTACACTAAGGCTCACTACATACCCCAGGATACACACTAAGGCCCCCTACATACCCCAGGATACACACTAAGGCTCCCTACATACCCCAGGATACACACTAAGGCTCACTACATACCCCAGGATACACACTAAGGCTCCCTACATACCCCAGGATACACACTAAGGCTCCCTACATACCCCAGGATACACACTAAGGCCTCCTACATACCCCAGGATACACACTAAGGCTCACAACATACCCCAAGATACACATTAAGGCTCCTTACATACCCCCTGATACACACTAAGGCTCCCTACATACCCCAGGATACACACTAAGGCTCACTACATACCCCAGGATACACACTAAGGCTCACTACATACCCCAGGATACACACTAAGGCTCCCTACATACCCCAGGATATACACTAAGGCTCACTACATACCCCAGGATACACACAAAAGGCTCCCTACATACCCCAGGATATACACTAAGGCTCACAACATACCCCAGGATACACACTAAGGCTCCCTACATACCCCAGTATACACACTAAGGCTCCCTACATACCCCAGGATACACACTAAGGCTCACTACATACCCCAGGATACACACTAAGGCTCCCTACATACCCCAGGATACACACTAAGGCTCCCTACATACCCCAGGATACACACAGAAATAGGTGAGTACAAATAGATGAGTACACTAAGGCTCACTACATACCCCAGGATACACACTAAGGCCCCCTACATACCCCAGGATACACACTAAGGCTCCCTACATACCCCAGGATATACACTAAGGCTCACTACATACCCCAGGATACTCACTAAGGCTCCCTACATACCCCAGGATACACACTAAGGCTCCCTACATACCCCAGGATATACACTAAGGCTCACTACATACCCCAGGATACTCACTAAGGCTCCCTACATACCCCAGGATACACACTAAGGCTCCCTACATACCCCAGGATATACACTAAGGCTCACTACATACCCCAGGATACTCACTAAGGCTCCCTACATACCCCAGGATACACACTAAGGCTCCCTACATACCCCAGGATACACACTAAGGCTCCCTACATACCCCAGGATACACACTAAGGCTCCCTACATACCCCAGGATACACACTAAGGCCTCCTACATACCCCAGGATACACACTAAGGCTCCCTACATACCCCAGGATACGCACTAAGGCCTCCTACATACCCCAGGATACGCACTAAGGCCTCCTACATACCCCAGGATACACACTAAGGCCTCCTACATACCCCAGGATACGCACTAAGGCCTCCTACATACCCCAGGGTACACACTAAGGCCTCCTACATACCCCAGGATACACACTAAGGCTCCCTAGTGTGTGGTAGTGGTGTAAGCTAGCCACCAGTACAAGACAGTGGTATAATAGAGTCATTAAGGGCGAGAATGAGACTGACGTACCTGGGGAGGCTGCCATTGGAGACTCTGGGGGCGTCGTCTTGGTGCGGCATGATCAACAAGGAGTCTATCTCACTACTCCATAATCACTCAACCACTGCCACAGTCTCTCTGATAACCTCACAACTCTGAGGTAGTCACTGGCCAGAGTATGTCTGTATGGGCAGCTGTCTGGGGTATACTGGGGTATGTTATGTTGGTGAACCTCTTTGTCTACACACTGTGAGAGAGTATATCACGGTGAGTATATCACGGTGAGTCTGCTTCTTCTCACACAGTAACTGCCTCACTGTTCAGCTGTCTGGACACTACTACTGTCCAAGCCTCACTGTTCAGCCGTCTGGACACTACTACTGTCCAAGCATCACTGTCCGGCCGGGTGGACAAAACACTACTACTCCTGATAAGATAATGTGGAGTAATTTAGGAAGATGACTGTGACACCGTAGCCTGAACCAGTACTACGTCTCTGCTCACTTACTTGACGCCTTGCACCGTCCCTCTACGGTGTGTGTTTATGGGGTGTACACGGTACACTTATGGGGGGTGTACATGGTACAGTTATGGGGTGTACATGGTACAGTTATGGGGTGTACATGGTACAGTTATGGGGGTGTACACGGTACAGTTATGGGGCGTACATGGTACAGTTATGGGATGTACAATGTACAGCTATGAGTGTGTACATGGTACACTCATGGGGGTGTACATGGTACAGTTATGGGGTGTACATGGTACAGTTATGGGGTGTACATGGTACAGTTATGGGGTGTACATGGTACAGTTATGGGGTGTACATGGTACAGTTATGGGGTGTACATGGTACAGTTATGGGGTGTACATGGTACAGTTATGGGGTGTACATGGTACAGTTATGGGGTGTACATGGTACAGTTATGGGGTGTACATGGTACAGTTATGGGGTGTACATGTTACAGTTATGGGGCGTACATGGTACAGTTATGGAGTGTACATGGTACAGTTTATGGGGGTGTACATAATACAGTTATGGGGTGTACATGGTACAGTTATGGGGTGTACATGGTACAGATGTGGGGTGTACATGGTACAGTTATGGGGGTGTACACGGTACAGTTATGGGGCGTACATGGTACAGTTATGGGATGTACAATGTACAGTTATGAGTGTGTACATGGTACACTCATGGGGGTGTACATGGTACAGTTATGGGGTGTACATGGTACAGTTATGGGGTGTACATGGTACAGTTATGGGGTGTACATGGTACAGTTATGGGGTGTACATGGTACAGTTATGGGGTGTACATGGTACAGTTATGGGGTGTACATGGTACAGTTATGGGGTGTACATGTTACAGTTATGGGGCGTACATGGTACAGTTATGGAGTGTACATGGTACAGTTTATGGGGGTGTACATAATACAGTTATGGGGTGTACATGGTACAGTTATGGGGTGTACATGGTACAGTTATGGGGTGTACATGGTACAGTTATGGGGTGTACATGGTACAGTTATGGGGTGAGCATGGTACTGTTATGGGGTGAGCATGGTACAGTTATGGGGTGTACATGGTACAGTTTATGGGGGTGTACATAATACAGTTATGGAGTGTACATGGTACAGTTATGGGGTGAGCATGGTACAGTTATGGGGTGTACATGGTACAGTTTATGGGGGTGTACATGGTACTGTTATAGGGTGTACATGGTACAGTTATGGGGTGTACATGGTACAGTTATAGGGTGTACATGGTACAGTTATGGGGTGAGCATGGTACAGTTATGGGGTGTACATGGTACAGTTATGGGGGTGTACATGGTACTGTTATGGGGTGTACATGGGACAGTTTGTAGGTTAGGTTAAGTGAGTGTAGGTACAGTAAAGTTAGTTTACAAAGGTAACGTGGGTAAGTTAGGTTAAGTTAGCAGACAACAGGTAATGGTTGATCTTGTTGTAAACACTGCGCCTGGCAGCGCTGCAGGCAGCCGCACAAAGTGTCGTACTCTCCCAACACCTGAGAGCTTAGGGACGCTTGACTAAATAACAAATTGTGTTTTGCTTCTTCATGGAGTTATGTTATCTTTGATCACGATAGCACAGGGCTACTTACACTAGCGCCCCGCTGGACAACATGGATATATTACACTAGCGACCCGCTGGACAACATGGGTATATTACACTAGCGCCTCGCTGGACAACATGGGTATTTATTTATTTATTTATTTATTTATTTATTTATGCATATACAAGAATGTACATAAGGAATGTGAGGATACAAATATGGTAATTACAGTCTTGTAAAGCCACAAGCACGCGCAGCGTTTCGGGCAGGTCCTTAATCTAAGAAAATTTTAAGGAGGTAAATACTTGCAAAATTTATAGACAAAAAAATGATAACAGTTACATGAAATGAAAAAAAAGAAGATGAGAGAAAATTGTAGGTACAGTATATTAAAGCACGTAGGTAGCTAAGATTGATTGCAATGACAGCTTGAATGGTAGTTGACAAAAATTGGTAGTCACAATACAGCAGAAACAATATAAGATTGATTGCAATGACAGCTTGAATGGTAGTTGACAAAAATTGGTAGTCACAATACAGCATATGGCTAGCACATAAAAGAAGACAGCAATGAACACAATGATAAGGTAGTTTGATATTACATAAAAATTAGGAGATTGGGTAACACTAGGTACAGAGCAAATTTAAAGCTCAGTGTAGGAAACTATGAAGATGAAATTAGGTACTTTTTGGTTTTGCTTTTAAATAAGGCAAAAGTTTTACAGTTTTTCAATTCACTAGGGAGTGAGTTCCATAGACTAGGTCCCTTAATTTGCATAGAGTGTTTACACAGATTAAGTTTGACCCTGGGGATATCAAAGAGATATTTATTTCTGGTGTGGTGATAATGGGTCCTATTACATCTGTCCAGGGAGAGTTTCAGAGCATGGTTTGCATTTAAGAACAGGGTTTTGTAAATGTAGTTGACACAAGAGAATGTGTGGAGGGAGTTAATATTTAGCAAGTTTAGGGATTTAAACAAGAGAGCTGAGTGTTCAACATTATTGCCAACAGCATTTGGTGTTCCCAGGCGGTCACCCATCCAAGTACTAACCAAACCCAACGTTGCTTAACTTCGCTGATCGGACGAGAAGCGGTGTTCTCAACGTGGTATGGCCGTTGGCAATATATTATATATTACACTAGGGCCCCGCTGGACAACATGGGTATATTACACTAGGGCCCCGCTGGACAACATGGGTATATTACACTAGGGCCCCGCTGGACAACATGGGTATATTACACTAGGGCCCCGCTGGACAACATGGGTATATTACACTAGGGCCCCGCTGGACAACATGGGTATATTACACTAGGGCCCCGCTGGACAACATGGGTATATTACACTAGGGGCCCGCTGGACAACATGGGTATATTACACTAGGGCCCCGCTGGACAACATGGGTATATTACACTAGGGCCCCGCTGGACAACATGGGTATATTACACTAGGGCCCCGCTGGACAATTAGCGCAGTTATCCCTGGACATTTCTGAGATAGGATATCTCACGTTATTCCCCATAGAACAGCGACGCAGACGTGGCCCGCTGACGTAACCTCCCCAACCTGTTCGACTCCAACCAACACAAAATGGTTCCCATTAACACTGACATATTGGTTTGAAGACTATAAATGATGCAATAATGTGCGTATACTGGACCTGCAGGTGGAGGTGGTGGCCGCTAGGTGTCTGCTCCAGGTGTTGAGGCTGCTGGCAGACGACCCCTGGCTCCTGGCGCCCTGTGTGTGGTGCTACACTGTACACCTCCACACTCTCCACACCTGCACTGCACACCTCCACACTCTCCACACGTACACTGTACACCACCACACTCTCCACACCTACACTGTACACCACCACACTCTCCACACCTACACTGTACACCTCCACACTCTCCACACGTACACTGTACACCACCACACTCTCCACACCTACACTGTACACCACCACACTCTCCACACCTACACTGTACACCACCACACTCTCCACACCTACACTGTACACCACCACACTCTCCACACCTACACTGTACACCACCACACTCTCCACACCTACACTGTACACCTCCACACTCTCCACACCTACACTGTACACCTCCACACTCTCCACACCTACACTGTACACCACCACACTCTCCACACCTACACTGTACTGCACCACACTCTCCACACCTACACTGTACACCTCCACACTCTCCACACCTACACTTAACCTAACCAGAGTGTTGACCCCAGAGTGTTGACCCCAGAGTCTTGACCCCTGAGTGTTGATCCCAGAGTGTTGACCCCAGATTGTTGACCCCAGTGTTGACCCCAGAGTGTTGACCCCAGATTGTTGACCCAGAGTGCTGACCCCAGTGTTGACCCCAGAGTGTTGATCCCAGAGTCTTGACCCCAGAGTGTTGATCCCAGAGTGTTGACCCCAGTGTTGACACCAGAGTCTTGACCCCAGAGTGCTGACCCTAGAGTGCTGACCCCAGTGTTGACCCCAGAGTGTTGACCCCAGAGTGCTGACCCCAGTGTTGACCCCAGAGTGTTGACCCCAGTGTTGACCCCAGAGAGTAGACCCCAGTGTTGACCCCAGAGTGTTGACCCCAGATTGTTGACCCAGAGTGCTGACCCCAGTGTTGACCCCAGAGTGTTGACCCCAGTGTTGACCCCAGAGTGTTGACCCCAGAGTACTGACCCCAGTGTTGACCCCAGAGTGTTGACCCCAGGGTGCTGACCCCATTGTTGACCCCAGAGTGCTGACACCAGTGTTGACCCAAAGAGTGCTGACCACAGTGTTGACCCCAGAGTGCTGACCCCAGTGTTGACCCCAGAGTGTTGATCCCAGTGTTGACCCCAGAGTGTTGACCCCAGTGTTGACCCCAGAGTGTTGATCCCAGTGTTGACCACAGTGTTGACCCCAGAGTGTTGATCCCAGTGTTGACCACAGTGTTGACCCCAGTGTTGACCCCAGAGTGTTGACCCCAGAGTGTTGACTTAGAGTGCTGATCCCAGAGTTGACCCCAGAGTGTTGACCCCAGAGTGCTGACCCCAGTGTTGACCCCAGTGTTGACCCCAGAGTGTTGACCCCAGTGTTGACCCCAGAGTGTTGACCCCAGAGTGTTGACCCCAGAGTGCTGACCCCAGTGTTGACCCCAGTGTTGACCACAGTGTTGACCCCAGAGTGTTGACCCCAGTGTTGACCCCAGTGTTGACCTCAGAGTGTTGACCCCAGTGTTGACCCCAGAGCGTTGACCCCAGTGTTGACCCCAGAGTGTTGACCCCAGTGTTGACCCCAGTGTTGACCCCAGAGTGTTGACCCCAGTGTTGACACAGTGTTGACCCCAGTGTTGACCCCAGAGTGTT